AGTCTTTTCCAAGAGCTTAACTCAACCTGACTGACCAAAATGTTCCTTGTGCCTTCATTTCTCTTACCAATATTACTAGTGTTATATACTCAGCTAACAGTCACAGTAGAAACAGTCAGTCTAAAACGTCACAGCAGAGCAGATGTGTAGATCTGAGGCAGATATAACCAACTTCCAAAGTTAAATGATAATAATGTGAAGACAGTTCCCCAGAAGCGTGCTGGTGGTGTAGAAGAGCACTGTTTGGCACTCTGTTCACTCAGATCATTGTTCTCTAGTTTCCTATGCTGATAACACACTCTGGTGCTGGGACTCCTGTCTGTTCCCTTTTGAGGGTTATAAAGTATTCATTGTCTTTGATTCAACAGGGTTTCAGGGGAGGGGGAGGTTATCTTTACATTTGACACTTTATGACATAGTCTTGTTTCTCACTTTTCTTACTTCATGACTTTGCTAGCTGTAGTTCTCCACATCAAACTTGTCAGTGTCAACTTACAGCAATGAATAATTATTTTAAAACTTACGTCAAGGATCACCTGTTTCACACCTGTGAACAAAGGACAATATATTACGTGCCTGCTTCATACTCTCATCTTCTAGAACGTTAGGTCCCTCCACACTTCTTCCAGAGTGATATTTGTATGACTTGCCAGTGTTATGAAATAATGTGCTCTACCCCCTATATGCCAGAGGAACTGCTATGACTAGCACATCCATCCACCTTTTAGCATTCTTCATATTTTTCCTCTCTTATCAAATAGCTCAAGAAGTTAATTCATGTTGTAGTGAAGAGACAATCCTAGATTTTAAATGCTTTAGTAAATATACAGGGTGGGGAATGTCACTGCTTTGAAATAGAATTTCTGTCTTGCTGTTGTGAGCAACAAAATATGTCTTGGGACACATGTGACCACGTACCAATGTCTTCAGGTCCCATGGGCTCTTTAAACTCTTTGCTAAGTCACATTTCCAGTATATCATGTTACTACTGGACTGTCCAGGAGCAAGATAATACCAGTACTACAAATTTCCTTAATAGGAAAGTTTGTTCATCAATTCTCTACTGATAATAGCCTGAGTCTAAAATTGGTGGTGAGAAGAGTGCTTAGAAAGTATGTTTGCTAAAAATTATTCTTTCTGCTTATCTCCCAGTATAAACAACAGAGAGATGGAAACTGCCAAATAACAAGTGAGTCCCAGTCTAAACTGGTTGTGCGGGGAGCTGGGATGCTGTTATGAAGCTCCTGGATGGTACATGCTCAGAGCCATACAATACTATACATCAGAAAACAACAGTTACAGATGCAATGTCTATTGTTTTGAGCACCATTAAAAACAGCAAGAGCTCTAAACGTAGTCCATGGGAATTCAGATTGAAGCAGACGATTGAAAATGGTGGGACACTGACTTAACACCCTCTGTTGTTGAAGACAACCTGAATCACTTTTGCTGGGGAAGGGAAAAAGGAGGAGTTAGTTTTTACAATGCTTTGAGCACTGGGATTCCCAGAGGAAGAGGGAAAGGAGAGAGCTGGATCTCATCCCTGCTTCCAGGACTGTCTCATGGATTTTACTCAATAATGTTTAAATGTAAAATGTGAGAAGCCTGAGGAACAGTGAGCAGACTTGCTCCTCCCAGAACAGTCTTTTTTTTGTCAGGTTCCATTTTGGATTAATCTGGGACCTGTGCTTACAAGTGCATGGTTAGATGTGTATGCAATGGGTCTGTGTTCAGGTGGTGTTAACTTGCACTTCACTGCATTAACAGTCAGCTGTGCTGCTGAGTGGATTGGAATCCCTGTATCATAAACACTTCATGTAGAACCTCTTTCACCTGCCTTTAGATGAGTATTGTCAAAACTGTAATTGTACCTATTGAAAAGAACCAGGTCAAGTAAATCACAGCTTTAAAAAAAAACACAACAAAAGGACCAAAAACCTAAATTTTGGACTTCTGCAGTGATATAAATCTTATTTTAAACTTCACTGAGTATCCTGATCAGGTGTCCATCTTCCTCTTATGATTAGTTCAGATGTGAATGTCCTCATCTAATCAGATAAATCACATGCCCCTGAGTTTGCTAATACTGACCTGTGCATCATTTAGGTGATGAAAAGTTAGCTCTTAATCCTCACTTCCCTTCAAAGCTTTAAGAAACTTGCTAAATGGAAGCAAGACCTCCCTGCCTTCACAGGGGTGTGTGTCTTGGATATTCACTAACATAAGTAAGAGTGAGCTTTCCATGTTTGTTCAAACAGACTAAAAAATCAGGTGGCTCAGATCTGGGCCTTTGGGCATTACAGGCATCCCTTAGGTCCTGTATCTGTTTACTAAAGAATCTTGGTGCTGCCATAACCTGATGACTAAAAGGATAACTTCTTGAAAGGGTCCTTTTATCTGACAGATTTTCATCTGTAATGCCAGGCACAGACAGGGTATGTTACCTGGATGTATTTGTTCAGAGTTTTTTCCTCAGGAAAGTTTAACATTTAATTAAAAGTGCTCTGCATTCCAACATTTTAGTTCTTTCTGATGGTCTCAAAGATATCCATACAAGATAGAATATCTTGATGTCTTTAGACAATGTGACTGTATATTCACAATTCAGTAAAAGTGCCACAATCAGCATTTTTTAAGAAGACGACATGCTGGATAACAGCTGGAAAAAATACATCTAATGACTCTGCATATACACATTCTGTTTAGCCCATATCCATTTATAATCACATAATGAATGAAGATTCTGTAAGAAAGTATTCTGGTTTCTTTTATCATCTCTGAATGTATTTCCAAACTAAAAATTGGATATTGCAGGAACCTGTGGGATGAAAGCTCTAGTCAAGCAGACTTCCAGATGAGCTACTTTAATGTGAGAAACTGTTTTCCTTCCCATCTTACATGCTCTCCCTTTTTTTTTTTTTAATTAGGTCATATCCTTTTGTGTTCTTGAGTTGCTTAGAAATCAGATGAAGTTCAGTGGACCTGGCACTTGTGACCAGTACTAGGCTTGTGCACAGAGCCCTGTGTCAGTGACAGGGCTCTGTCACCTTCTCTTGCTCAGACAGGTGGAATGTGGAACGGCACTGACACACTGCTCAATAAGAGAGTGAGAGTGGAGTGTCTTTATCAGGCAGGGGTGAGGGGCTGGAAGTCTTACCTGCTTCTACTCTTAAGTGATTTGAGAAAACCACTTTCCACTTGGCTGTGTTTCTCAGGTTACCCTTACAGAAGATTTGGGGATTTCACTGGGTGGGGTGAGAAGAAAATGCCAATTATATCACAGCAGCCTGGGTTTCCCACCTGCATTACGAAGAGAAGATAACCTAATGTGATATCTCTATTTGTCTTCTCAGGGTGACTTCAAGTTTTCATCTAAACAAAAACACTTTTCCTCTCAACATCTGCCCAACTCCCACAAGTTTTTTGCATTCTCTAAATGTTCAGAAACCTCAGAAAAGATATTTTCTTCAGATTAACCCTATCAGAGTTTTACATTTTTTATGCCTCCGATGCTATCATTTCAATATATATATACATCAGAAGAGTCTTATCAGATTTGTGTTCAGATCTAGCCTCCTCTGCTGGATATTTATAGTCTAACTCAATTCATTAGGGTTTTTTTCACTAATACAGCATTATTAATTTATGCCTTCTGAAGTGCATATATAAATGTTTGGTTATAAATATTATCATGATTAGTTTGTATCCTAGAAGTCAAACAATATCTCTAGAACATTCACTCATGCTTAATTTAGAAGTATAAATCAAACTACACTGTGTAAAAAAAACAAAACCAAACGCTTCTAAAATTGAAAGAATATTTGTGTTCTTGCAAACTTTTGAAATCCAAAAGCTGAGTTATTTGTATTTTTTTCATTTCTTTGGAGAAATGTATTTACCTTAAGTAAAGATGGTATAGCCTGTATTAGGTATTTAATGACACAACTGTATTAATTTGATCTGAAATTCAGAGTTCACTCACACTAGGTATGTAGGTAGGTCTCACTAACATTAAAAAAAAAAATCTAAACATATGCCTTGGGAAATGCCTCTTTATTCCAAGATGCAAGTACACTTTCCTGCACCAAGAGACTTCTGAAGCCTGGCTGATTCCTTTTTAGGTATAAGTCAGTGTTTTCCTCAGTTGTCTGAGGCAAGCAAATACACTTACTTTCATTCTGATTCAGGAACTGCAATTTAAAATGATTGGCTTTATATAGTAACGTTATTTAACATCAGCAACGTAGTTCTGAAGTTCTGAAAATACTTGATCATATTAAACAGAAGCTCTGGAGCACTTGAAATGATTTTTCATAGGTTGACTTGCAAGACAGGATTTCTATCTTGGGAGTGTAAGGTAAAAAAATTAAGACATTAGAGCATATGTCTTTCCCTGAATTGAATTTGCTGTATATTTGCATTTACATAGGGCAGTGCAACTAACAGCATAGAAGTAAACTTTCTAAAGTCATGCAAAGGCAGGTAGCTTGTCCCCAGTTTACCCCTTTATCCAGGGTTGGGGTGTGAGCACTGTGGCAGCTTAAGGTTTATTTAGTGGTGTGGTGTGTGCTTGTGGTGGGGTTTTTTTGTTTTTAACTTAGTGGTCAATTGAAAGACTCAGGACAGTCTTCAACCCATGTACAAGTATGATTTCTGTACTTCTGTTTTCCTTTTTTAGCCTTTCACCTTATCCTATGCAGAATATCAGTCATCTATCCTTAGCTCTTGATTAATGAATTAGAGTTGTGTTCACAAGAGAAAGTGGGGCTTTTTTTTTTTTTTGGTTGTGGGTTTGCTTGCTTTTTTGTTTTGTTTGTTTACTTAGTTGTGAGGTTTTTTGCAAGAAAAGCATAAGGGTTTTTGCCCTTCTGCTGGCTTTTCTACTGGAAATAATACAGAATCATATGATTAAATTCACTTGACTCAGAAATCATTCACGTGTTATAATCTGATATTTGCAGAAGTCCATACCTAAGTAAGAGGTGCCTAGCCAGTCTGTCCAGCTCAAATTGTGTTTACCTAATAAATTGTGATTTTAATATTATTATTGTTTTGTATGTCAGAACACAAAATGTTTTGGATTAAGATTTAAAAAAAAAAAAAACAAAAACAAAAACAGAGCATTAAGTCAGACATTTTTTGATTTATTTTTTTTTTGGTCCCCTTTGTCTTACTACTTAATCCTAAAAGATTATTTTGTGAAATGAGTTGCTGGTGAAAATGACTAAATCAAGAATTCAAGGTGTGTCTAGCACAGTATTTTAGAGGGATTACACATTTTAACATAAAACCATAAAGGAGAAACTCATAAATCACTTTTAACCCTTGCAATTCTTAGGATAACATTTCTGAATCCATTAAAATTTAAACAGGGAAAAATAAATTTCAAGACAGAAGAGTCTCTGCATAATTTGTGTCATTACCACTGCTGTATCTAAGAGAATAACTGCTTTCACTATAATGTGTTTTCCCCAGACACATAAGAACTTGAATCTCTGGAACAAGCCATATAAAGGAAGCTCATTCCTTTCTGACAATACAAAACAAGCTCCCTCAAACCCTCTGTGCTTTCAGATACATTTTAGGCAAGAGAATGGTTAAATGGGCTCTGTCTGTCCAGGTGATGTTGGGACAAATGTTGAGTTCTGTAAAATAATAATCCTAAGTCATTCATTCCTCTTGCACTTTCTGGTCCTCCTATATAGGCAAGTGCCTCCACTATCTCTAAGAGCTTAGCTATAGCTGGAAAAGTAGGAATCTCGCTATAGCTTTTGCTCTCTTTACTTTGTGTTTTCTCTGTAAGAGGATTGCTGGCTAGTGATTTTCCTTCTCTTTTAGATATGGCTCAGTGGCATAATCAAAAAGTTGAGGTTCAGCTTAGTTTCCCTGAGGATGCTGGACTTGACTTTTGAGTATGTATAACTGAAAAGACATCCCCAGAGAAGATTACACCATTAAACTGGCATATAGATCCTTTCACTTGTGGAAAAAAACATTGCCTGTTATATATGTACTTGAAATTATAACACCCCACCCATACACAGTGATATGTAATCAGTCTGAAAGCAAATAAGAACTCATTCATTTATAGCCTAGTTCAGGCACTAGTCTTGTAGGCAAAAGTTTTAAATTATAGTACATGACAGTGTTACTATTTTGGGTGTGTATTAAATTGCATATATAGTTGTATCATTTCCAAATCCTTTTTGCACAGCTTTTATCGTTCAGACTGTTGTATTCTGCAGCTTTCACAAACTGGATCACATGAAGAAAGAGGGTAGTAAACTGCAGATAGTGGGGACATATGAATTCCAACACGGATCTTTCCGGGTGGCTTTTCTGTTAGGCTTCTGCCGGAGTTGTTAATGTATGTGATGGCATTCCCACCCGCTACTCAGTGCAGCTCCATAAGCAGTGGTGCCGATACCAGTGAGGGGGCAGTGCAGCTACACAGGAGAAAGAGCGGGTGGCAGAGCAGGGAGAGGGACCAGTGTCTTAAACCAACATTGTTACCAAAGGCAGCACAGCACAAAGTGAGAGCCTGAGAAATGACAGAACTACTGTTCATTTCAGCCTGTCTTGGTTTTGTTGGCGTTACCTGCTGCAAAATACTGTTGCCTTGTGATTTCCTGTGTGTAGTTTTAAAATGTGAAACCCATTGATCACATGGCAATTCCTTATCCAGTTTTAGGTACAGTCACTTGTGACAGAGCATTAAAACTTTGGACTGTGTTGCAAGAAGGCCAACTTCAGTGCCTATGTTCTGAATGCTGAGGATACAACTGGTTCTGTAATGCTGCACTACTGGTCATTTCTAGTAAGATACTGCTTGTGAGAATAGCAGTTGTTGGGCTTGTAGTGCAAAAGTTACATGCTCATTTTTAGCATGAGCTTCTTGTCTTACCAGGCTATCATATCTCCAAATTTAATTTTATTTTTTTTTGGCAGTTTTGGAATCTAAAGGATTATGCTTACTTACATTCTGTTGAATAGTAACAGGAACACGATATTAAATGCAGTAGTATCTCATCTCTTGGTATTCTGCAGCGTAAACTGAAAGTGCCTACAAAAAATAAAAGGTAACTGAAAGATTTGACCATGCAGCACATGTACCAGAAACAAAAATTTAATTTGTCTTACATATATATATATATATACATATATATAATCTCCCCTCATTAAGTCAAGAATTGAGGAAGAGGTTTACTTGGTCACTACTTCAAATTATGATTCAGAGAACTCCAAATAAGCTTTGTAACTATGCATCTCAACCATGAGCACCTGAAATAACTAAATGAATATATTGTACCATTCTTTTGAGATACCAAAGCTATGAAACACTAAATTATCTTTCAAAAAAGTTGCAGAGGTTATCACAAAGTCATTCTACACCAGTTTTGTAGTGTGGTGTCTGAACTGTTTATGTGTGACAGTTCCATTATCTCTTTTAACACAGACAGTTAACACAAGTAAATAAGGTGAAATTCACTGTGCATTACATTATGGTTGAAATCTTCATGCTATTAAGATAATTTCTGTATGCATCTACTTACTATTGTAATGTGACATTTTATAAAATAATGAAGAACCTCTAGTGTCATATTTGCCTACATTTATCTCATTTAAATTCAAACTCCAAGTATGAGATGATTTAACAGAATATAGCTATCTAGTGTTGTAAAACATGTACAAGAAAGGTAGCTGAGAAGTAAATTTGAACAGTAGCATCACCACAAAATGAAGAACAGGAATATACATAAAAAATCCATTAAAGCTTATCCAGATACGGTAATTTCAGAATGTGCCTTTTTTAATACTTGAGTATTGAATGTGTGTGTGTGGAGATATCAGTGACAATTTTTTTATCAGGTCAGAATAGTTAGCATTTATGGAGATAAAAAAAAATCAGATCAACAAAATTTATGTATAGATAAATGATGAGTTAGTAGAAGGGTATAAAGTAGTCAGAATGACAAAAATTAAAAATTGCAAGTATTTATGAATATGAAAGTCAGTGTATAGTTTAGCATAGTACAAAATACAAATCAATCCTAATACAAAAAAGGAGAATAAAAATATTTTAAAATTTTTTTTTTAGATGTTGAACAACTGTCTCCTAGAATTTTATATCCTTAAAATATGAAATTGCTTGATTCCAGAAAGCACCAAAAATTATATGGGATTTAACCTGCATGGACTTTATGTGCAGCTCTTTTGTGATGATGATTGGTGTTAAAATGTGAGACAATATCAAACTCATGTTCAAAAAACTACAATTCATGCTTAAATAAATGACTGGAAATCTTTCTTTAACTCAGAGAGGTCTTAAGCTGCAAAACTAAATAGATAAGAAAATTTGTAAAAACTTGTCAAATGGTACAGAAAACCTGCAAACCAAAATAGCAAGTTAAGTCTTTGGGCATCACAAACCCGAGTTAGATGAGAGGAAAAGAGACCTCTGTCTGTAGCTGCATGGAGCAAGTTGTTGTAAATTTGCCCCTAATGCTCAGTCTGAATTTAGGAGTTCTGAATATATATTTAAATGGTTATATTTACCAGCTACATAGCTGATATATAAAGTGCTTTCATTTATTTCTTTCAATTGGTTTCATATCATAAAAAGATGAAGTCTTAAAGAAATGCCCCAAATGTTAAAGATCTAATTTCAGCAGTTTGCAAAAAAACCAACCAAACAAACAAAAAAACAAACAAAAAACCAAAACACAACCAACCAAAAACCAACAAAAACCCCAAAAATGAAAAAACATAAAACCATCAGTTCAAAATGTTATATTCATTATATTTCAGTTACTTTACCTTACAGTTAAATTTTTAAAATAGAAACACAGCACTTTGGTTCACCAAATTAGTTTACACTTACTGATCTTTTACCGACAGCCTGCAAAGAGTATTTTGGTCATTATGCAAAATATACCAATTCTACATTAACTGCTGTCACAGTGCAGCACTGATGTCTACAGATGTAATGTGTTCATTTTGGTAAAAGCTACAAAATGGAAAAAGCTAAATACTCCTGCATATTGTAACTGAAAGGAAAGTAAAATGGAAATATCAGTCTATGTTCTAAGCCTTTTCCCGTCACCACCTTTTACAGAACAGACATTAGGGCTGATGTTGCATTGTTTTCAAATATCACACTTTTCATCTTACTAGCAATTTAATTTAGTTAATTTTGAGGACTAATCATCTTCTGCTACAAAATATTTAAACACAATCTATTTTATTAGCAAAACATTAAAAGCTGATGAGTCCAAGAGTTTCAGGCCAATACTCCTTCTTAATGCATACTGTCCTCTTTGTATCCAAATGTTATTGTCTGTTCTGCTTGCTCTGCACTTTTCTCAAGCCTGTGGCAGGGTTAGAAATGCAAAGGTCACTTAAGGATAAGTTAGTACTTGATTATTCTTTCTTTATAGTTCAGGGTATTTTCAATACTTTGCTTTTAATTATGTTCATTATGTATTGTTTTCCTTTCATCAGTAAAAGTGAAGAGTTATGTTTAATGGCCTTATTTTTTGCTTAGCTGCCAGGTGTTTCATTTTCATTTAACGTTTCAAGTCAAAGTCAATCTATGATGGCATATTGCTTTGAGGGTTTTTTTTGTCATCACTTTATCTGTCTGCTAATTGGGTAAACTAAATTATTTAGTATTTCTGGAAAACTGTAGATGTTTTATGGGCAATTTATTTTAAGATTACTTTTTCTAGTTAGTGTGTGTTTTAAGCTTTAAATTTAGAGTATAAAGCGATATAATGTTTAAACGTTTGGTTCTGATGTAACTACTGACATACAAATGAATACAATGATATTCCTTAGTTCATGCCACTCTCTTTAAAACAACAACAACAACCAAAACCCAAACCTTCCTAAAAAAAACAAGTCTCATTCTCCTCAGCAGCTGTCTTCCACTGCATTACCCATTTGCAAAACAGACAGAATTTCTGGTCCCAGAGAGGTTATGAAGCCAAGTTGCATGCAAGTTAAACAGTCTGGGAGACCTACACGGAAGACACATGCAAATAGTTGGCTTGAAACTGCTGCTAACAACTGCATGTAGTAATATTTCATCCAGTGTCTAGTAGTTGCTCAAGGTTCAGGATGGTATTAATATTATTATTATTATTATTATTATTATTATTATTATTATTATTAAAGAGGTGATGAGATTAAAAAAATGGCTTTTGTTTCTATTACAGAGATCAGATTTCTAAAATTGCTAAGCAAACTTAGGTTTCCCTAATTTTTTTTTGTTATATCTATGTCCTATTTCTTAAAGTTCTATTTCATAAGAGTAGTATGCGATAAAGAACAAGTTGTCTACCAATTCTCATATATCAGTACAAAACTACAGTGTGTTGCTTTAAAAGTGGAGGGACACTTGAATTCAATCAAAGCACAACTTTCTCACATTTTAAAACGGAAATAAGCATAACTTCAAGAAGGTGGGGTTTACTTTAGAACTGGAATTACCCAGTGCGAGAAACACAGATGAGCAGGTGGATTGTTCCTTAACTCGGCGGCTCCAGCCCCGGCCTGGCGGGAGCGGAGTTTGGCGTTCCCGGGGCTGCGCTGGGATGCCCCGGGGCGGCACGTGCAGGCAGCGCTGGGACCAGGGAGACTCTGCCTTCCTCTCCCCTGCTTATCGCCGGGTAACGCATCAATTTAATCGACTCACTGGGATGTAAACGAGCTTCCCTAATGAGACATGCTCAGATGAGTTCTACCCTTTGCCTGGGGTGAGCTCGCTTGAGCGGGTCACTGGTAATAAATGTACGCAAGGGTTAAACCAGTTCGCGTGTCTGCGCTGCGCTGCCGGACTAAGTTTCTGAAAGCCTCAAAGAAAAGCGCTTGGGGATGCGGTTGTGGGGGCGCCCGGTTCTTACGGTTCTTCCCCGTTTTCGGGGAGCTGCTCGTGTTTCTCTTACATGCAGCGCGAATGCGAACTCGTTTCGGCGGTGCGGGGACGGACCGAGCCCGGGTGCGGATGAGGGGCCGCGAGTGCGGGGCCGGTCCCTGGGGCGGGGGCGCTCCCCGGGCGGCCCCGCGCTCGGACCCCGCCTCAGCGCGACCGGGTCGGGGCGAGTTCAGCGCCCGGCGCCGCTGTCCTGCGGTCCGGCCCCCGAGCGGCCGGAAAGGTCGAGGTCGGCAATTCCCCGCCTCTCTCGGCCAGGTTTCCCGGAGCTGTCAGGGTCAGGCGCGGCTGTCGGGGACGCTGCCCCCAGTGTGGAGGATTTGGGGCCGCCCAAACCTCCTCGCCGCGGCAGGAGCGGAGCGCGGCTCCCCGGCACGGCTCGGCGAGCGGAGCGGTGCCGCAGGCTGATTAAAGCCCCGCTTTACTCCCGGCTGCGCCCTCCGATCCCGTTGCCCCGCTGCCGCTCCGATCCCCGCCGCGTTCCTGCTCCCGTTCCGGCCGCTCGGAGCCCGCCGCGCTCCCGCGCCGCCGTGCCCGCGCGGCGCGCGCTCCCCCCGGGCGGCGCCGTGCCCGCGCCTTGCGCGATGCAGTGTGGGAATGGCTGTGGCGCTGGGGTTGGCTGAAAGAGGCGGCCAGTCGAGGTTTAATGTCCGCCATGTTGGCCGTGGCGTATTGAGCGGAACCGGAGCGGCGGAGGAGCGGAGCCAGCGCCCAGCCCAGCCGCGCCAGCCGGCGCCGCCGGGCCCCGTGTCGGAGTGCGCCCCGCCCCGCCGGGGGAGCCCCGGTCCCTCCATGAGATCGCTCGGCGGGGTCCGGCTCTCAGCTCGGAGCGCTCTTGCTGTCGCCCCCCCCTTCCCAGCCGGAGCCGCCATCGCCGCCTAACATGAGCAAACTGTCGTTCCGGGCCCGGGCGCTGGACGCGTCCAAGCCGCTGCCCGTCTTCCGCTGCGAGGACCTGCCTGACTTGGCCGAATATGCCTCCATTAACCGGGCCGTGCCGCAGATGCCCACGGGCATGGAGAAGGAAGAGGAGTCGGTACGTGAGACCCCCCCCCCGGCCGGGTCCCACCATCCCCCCCGCACCCGGGCCCCCACCTTCGCCTCTGCGCAAGCACAAAATGGCCGCCATCTTCTCCCCGCTCTCCCCGCCCGCCGGGAGGGGGGGACACCTGGGGCGGGAAGGCGCCGATCCCGGGGGCCCCTCACCGCGTCCTCCCCCGGGGCTCCCTCACAGGCCTCTCGCCCCCCCGCGCGCGACCCGCGGCCGCCGGCGGCCCCTCGGCGGGGGCCCGAAAGGCACAAAGGGGGTCACGTGACCGCGCGGGTCGGCCGCCATTTTGTGTGTCGGTCCCTGGGCCGGGCCTGGTGCGGCAGCCGCGAGGCGCAGACGGGGCCCGGCGGCGGCGCCGTGCCCGCGCGGCCCCGCCGGGGGGCGCTGCCGAGCTGGACGGGGCCG